TGTTCGCACAGGAGGCCGCGATACAGCTGCGTCGCCAGCGCCAGGAAGAGCGCAAGCAGCGTATTCTAAACCCCAAAATTAGCAAGAATGGCAGCGATCTCGAGGCCCTGCAGCAACAGATTATCGAAAAGCGCGAGCAGAAAAAGGCCGAGCGCGAAGCTGAGATGGCTGCTGGTATGTTGCCATCAGGCCGTTGTTTACCCTGACCCCTTCTCTCGCCCCACCATCACCATCACAACATGCACACGCACGCGTACATGCACGCGCACACGCACACGCAAACAGCTGCATTGCCTCAAACCCGACGAACCAATCACCTCTCCACCCCGTTTGCTGCTATGTAGATCGCGAAATGGCTGCGCACGCCGAGCTGGCTTTGGAGCTCGAGCGACAGCAACGCATGGCTGCCAAGGCTGCACTCGCCGAACAGCAACGCCAATGGGAAGAACAGCGCCATCGTGAGGAAACGGTGGTGTGGCGCGAGCCTGCTCCGCTCCGCGGCGACGGCGCCGACGAGAGTCGGCTTGGCCCATCCTCTCTGCAAATCTTCCAGGGTGAGGATGACAGTCAGATTGAACGCGAGGCCCTGCAGCGGGCCCAACAGCGTGAATGGGCTCGCCAACAGATGGAACAGCAACAACGCCAGCGCCAAGCCGAATCAGCCGAATTTGAAGAGGCGCAAAACATGGCCCACAGCCAAGCTCTCTTGGGCCTTCAACAACAGCACGCTCAAGACGAAGCCCGTCGGGCCCGCCTACGCGAGGCCGCGGAGTACAATCGCAAGATGGCCGATGAAAAGGCTGCTGCTCGCCGCCGCGAACGCTTCCATGAAGCCGAGGAACTCGTGGCACAGAAGCAGGCTGAAATCGACTCCTCCCTCATGCGCGAAGATCCCACAGAGGCGTTTGGCCGAAATGGCAAGGTCCTGAAAGACCGCTACCGAGGCATGACTCCAGAACAGGTGGCTCAGATTCGCGCCGACCAAATCCGCCAAGCCGAGGAAGCCCAGCAACGCCGGCAACAGCAACGCGAGGAAGAAGAGCGCGAAGCCCAACTGCGCGCCCAGATGAGCCGTCAGGCCTTGTTGATGGATCGCCAAGCGCAACGCGCTCGTCAAGCACAGCTGCAAGAGGCCGCCACCATCAATCAAACGTTGCGACTGGAACAGACACTTCGCGCCACCCAGCGGGAAGAAAACACCTTTGACGACAGCTTCTTTAGCCAGTTTGGCACCAGCGCCCGCTAATCGGTGCCGGAGTAGATGTGTCTAGCAACCGGACACACGCTCATGCCCATCTTCACTGATGTGTTGCGTTGCTTTGCTGTATGCTAATGTCTATGCCTTTATGTGCGTGTGTGCCCTGTGGATATGTTCCTTGTTGGCCGTGCGGCCGGTCCGCCAAGACGTTACACGTCAACCGTACCACCCCTCCCTCATCCGGCTGCTCTTTCGCCTTCTCTCTCTCTCTCTCTCTCTTTCCTTTGCCCCATCTCTTCTCGCCCCTGCTCCCCTCTCCCCCTGTCACTTGCGTCCTCATGCCCACCCTCCTGTCTTCGTGTCTTATTTGACCGCTTCTTTTTCTCAGTTGTCTGTTTACTATTCTGCGAGTCCCCTCTGAATAAAAAAGAGCATATCGTTTGATGGACATTGCACCAATCACACGCTTGCTGTTGCACACCACAAAGTCTGCACTCGACGAATGCTATTGACCTTGATCACAGAACAGACACCCTTGAGCGGTAAGCTCAGAACTTACCAATTCACAAAGCCAAACAGCCCTGCCTGTACGATGCCAAGAACACGAAATTTAATACAAAATGGATTTAACGGCGCTGCACCGGGCGAGGGGAGATATCTGCTGACTGCACTGCATGAATCAAGACACCCTTGTAGCCGGCTTGATTATAATGTGCGTGGCCCTATGCAACATCAAAAAAGCAACCCATGTCACATGATGTAAGGTGGCGCCAGCACCTAAACCTCAGCTTTAGCAAAATGCAAAACAGGGGCAAACCTTGGACCAGTCATAGCCACACCCGTAGGCAAAGAGCGTGCCATCGCCATTGAAATCGCAACACGTGATTTCGGCCTTGGCTTTGGGGAATTCCTGAGTTTATCCCAAAGCAAGGGTGCAGCAGCGCGGCCCAATCAAATGGTTCAACCATGCTCGCTCATGCCGCCAACGTCAAGGCCTGTTCACCCAGGCTTTCGGCTGTTCTTGATCGTGAACAGGCAGCTCCTACCTTGAGCTTGTTGCGGTTGACTTTGTCCCAGAAGTAAAAGACACCATTGCCGCCGACCGTTGCAAAAGTTCCGTGCTAACGTGCAAAAAAAAGGGCATTCAGTAACACACACAAGGGAAAAAAAAAAAAAAAAAAAAAAACAAGACAAGACAAGCGACCGCCGTGGACGCCAGCCATGTTAAATACAACGCAAACCAATACCGCGCATACCCCGACACAAACACACCTGCTTGTGGAAGGCAATATCATTGACCGCGTAGGCGTCCGTTGAGCCCTTGTCTGCCGTGCGATGGCACTTGAACGAAAACTTTTCCTTCTACCATAATTCAACATTGAACCGTGAAACACAGGACGGGATCTGACTCTATTCTCTGAGACGCTCAGACTACCCAGAATCCTGGCTTGAAACGAGCAGATGTGGACTGCTTGGGAAAAGAAGCATGTTTGTGCAACCGAAACTCCACATTGTCAGGAACTGCACCTACCTCGTGTTTAGCTGGGTCGGCATACAAGATGGCGACACGGCCTTCGATTGAGCCAACAGCAAATCCATCCTGTAACCCAGTTCAACAAGTCAAGATTTAGAACAAGTGATAGAAGCGTTTCTGTCACGGACCTGCCCAAATACAAACAATACAAAGGGCCAAAGAGCCAAAAAAAACTTACGCCACTCGGGAAGCAGCGCAGTACGCGGGGCTGGAGGTTGAGCAAAGCTTGTGAAGCAGACTGGCCGGCCTGCGCGGTTGTGGCTCGAAGCTCAATCTCGCGGAAAGGACGTGGGCCACCATCGAGCGTGAAGACGGACACCTTGCGGTCTGAGGTAACCACGGCTGCAAGGTTGTTGACGGCATCTGCAGAGTAACAGCGGCCTGATACAAACAAGTGACAACCACAACGCCATGTCCATGTCAGAATCAAATTCGAAAGAGCAAAAGAAAAAAAAGCTCCGAAAAAACGCGAGCTGGTAGTTGTTGGGTGTGTGGGTTGTGTGCGCATGTGCTTGCTCCTCTTCCTTGATGTGTTTCATTCTTCCCTCTTCAGTCGTCATTTCGTTTGAAAGAAGGCGTTGTGTGTTGTGTGTTGGCGGGGGGAGGGGGAGGTCTTACCACCCAACGTGAACGAGGCCACAGCATTGGGGGATCGCATGTCCCAAAACTTGACCGTCTGATCCCACGAAGCTGTCATGACGGCATTCAGTTGGGGCAAAAATCGTGCCGACTTGACCGGCGCATCATGCTGCAAGACGATACATTGACATGAACAATCAAGTCAAGATTCAATCGGCCAAGATGAAGGCCAAGGATATGAGAGGCATAGCCTTTACTACAGTCACACGTGGAACGGTGTCACAACCAACCGCGGCAATCTGCTGAGTTTGGCCAGTGGCCAGGTCACAAAGTTGCGCCGTCTTATCAGCCACGGCAGTCACGCACTTGGAACCATCCTATGCGAGCGGTCAAACAGAACAAGGTGGTGTTGGAACACGGCGACATAAGGGCTCAAGCCAGATGTTTGTGAACCAAACATTGCGGAAGGATGCACAGATGGTTATCAAGTAGCAAGAAATCCTCAGGGATGGATGGTTCCAAGGACGGATATGCATACCGCCACAAAATCAACGTCAAGAACGGGTGCACCAAACTTGAATTCTTGGCGAGGCGCACTTTGTCCCTGGGGGCTAATCTCATAAACCTTAACCTGAGCACATGGCCATGAGGCAAGGATGCGAGAGAGCGGAAAGATGCAAAAGGTCAGAGCAGATAAGGTGTGGGTGGAACTTGCAGCACGTGGGTTGGGACCCAAATCACGAATGGACTCAAGTTGAGCAAAGCAAGCGGAATTCAATAACGTACCGTTGAGTCCCAGCTCCCAACAGCCAGATGATTGCTGACAGGTGACCACTTGATGCATTGCGGCGTGTCACCGGGAGGCGGGTTGACCTGATGAAGCAATCGTCAGGCTGAGGCGTAAAAGCGCTGATACGTCAGGCAAAGAGAAGATGGGCGGTTCACGCAAAAAAGAGGGGTGTACTGGACGGACCTCGACGTCACGCGATGCAGCGGCAGCACCGAACATGTCGTTGGTTCACCCGATAGAGGCAACAAGAAGGCGGCGGCACCTTTGAAATTTGAGATTCACAAAAAAAAAAAAAAAAAAAAAAAAAAAAAAGCCAGCAACTTATAAGATGCTGTTCGGAGATAGCTTTGTGCGTGTGCCTCAACCAAATAGCGAGGCGCGTGTTTTGTGGTAACCGTCGCCGTCAATCGGACAAGGACCCGAGTAAGAGGCGAAGGCGCGCTGGCCGACACACCTGAGCGACGAGTCCTCTGTCAATGCGTCAAGACAAGTTCAGCTTTTTTGCTTACATTCGAGCCCAAATCCCCAATGTGGACCGGTGCTGGATAAAGCACGCAGAACAAGAATGGCGACAATCAAGTGACGGAGCGCTCCTCGACCACGACACCCGGCTGCCGTTCGATCCGATCCCAGTGTGCAGCGTGCAGCGTTCACAAGAGCAGAGAGAGAGAGAGAAAGCGAAATGACCAACTGTCAGTTGTCCATGGTCACAACTGCAGTTGTTTACGCATCTGTAACTTGGCTTGATGTCGGTTTTGGAAGAGTTTATGTTAAACCCTTGTATACTTTCAGAATGGTTTTTGTCAGCTTTTGTAGTTTTTTCCTCTTCCTGGATGATAAGGACTGTTATTGCACATGCATCGCACCCACTGCCTCTCTCTCTCTCTCTCTCTCTCTCTCTCTCAATTGGTCGGATTCAGGCTACAAGCTCATCAGGTACTGCTGGGTGCGCTGCCACCAACGGCGAGCTGTATTGACTGAGCCAGTTCACCGTCCTCACCTTGCTTTTGAATCTGGAATGGCATCGTTGGCATCATCAAAATCGTGAGGATCTCTTAGGGTGTGACCATTTTTTTTTCCTGCTGGCATCATGGCGTGCGACCTGCAAATTCCCAAAAAGTTTCACAGTGACCTCATTGGTCATGGCGGCTCCGTCATCCGGCGCTTGGAGAGCAGCTTCAGCGTCAACGTGACAATTCCCAATCGCGACGTGAGTAGCTGCAACGAGCGTGATCCTACCCACCAACCCCAGGAGCAACTGCCCGTGCTCATTCGTGCCGCTGGCCTGGTACTTTTGCACAGGATAGTAGTTGCATCGTGTCCATCGTCGGCCCACCCGCAGGCATCGACGGCTGTCGGTGCGTGCACAAATCTTCTTCTTTGTTTGCACGTTGACTTGTTTGGACCGGCAAAAGGGTAGGCCACAGGATCGTGTTCATGCATCTGCCTCTGGCCCTCAGACGTGAGATTGCCAACATTCTCAAGTTTGAAGTCGGCGAGGACCCGCTTCTGACCGCGCAGCTTGACATCCCTAGCAGCGTTCACGGTCGCCTCATCGGTACGTTTGAAGATTCGCGAGGAGTCGCGTTGTGATCGTATGCTTACAGAATCAGATGCTGTGGTGCTCATACGAGCCATGTTGCCCAAGGCCCGCGAGGATCGACGCTTCAAAACCTAGAAACCCAACATGGCTGTGCCATTGAGATTCCGCGTCGAGGCCAAGATGGGCCCGTCACCATTCAGGGTCAGCTCTTGCGTGCTGCTTCACCTCCAAAGGAACATGCCCCTCTTTTTCTTACTTCCTGGCCACTCTTGCAGGTGCCAAAGGCCATGTGGAGCGAGCCCTTGAAGCCATCCGTGAGATTGTTGAGGTTCCCTTCTCTGTATGTGGTGCTCGCCGTGCTCTCCTGACTCTAGAACCATCGTGCCACTTGCGTTCCTCATTTCCCGCCTTTTTGTCACGAAATTCAAGGTGCTCGGAACAGAAACGAGCGACATTCCCGCCCCCCGTGCCCACATCAACCTGCAGGCCCGTGAACCCATTCATGAGGTCCTCTTTTTTCCAGAACGTCCCAACCAGGTTGGCTTGCTCCCCTCAATTGCAAGGAGCAGACTCACCCGGAAGTTTGATTCTCACCCTTTCCCCACTCGCACAATCTATAGCCAAGCTTTCAGCGCTTCCTGACGTATCTGGATTCAGCCGAGCATACCGCTGAGATCTGTGTCTTCACGATCTCAGACGATCGCATCTACGAAACCATCATGCGTCTTCATGCCCACGGCGTCAAGGTATAGCTACGCCCCCAATCCCACTACCACCCTCTGCCCTGTGTTCCAACAAACACGCTCACAATTCGGAACTTTTCCCATAGGTGCGCGTCATTACTGACGACGAATGCATGACAAACCAGGGCAGCGATATCCTCAAATTGCGAAACGCTGGTATTCCAGTTCGCACGGATCACAGCGAGTATCATATGCATCATAAGGTCTGCCCATGTCGCAAGGCTCTTGACTTGCTTAAAGACTGCATGCTATTTTCATTGTTGGTCTTGTACTGCATTCACTTCTTTTTGCTTGATCCAGTTTGCCGTTCTGGATAGCAAGGTCATTCTTACAGGCAGCTTCAACTGGACTTATGGTGCCGCAACCCATAATCAAGAGAACATTTGCATTTCCAACGAGCCTCAACTGGTACGAAGCCTACTTGTTGCTGCTGCAACTGCTGTTAATACACGCCCATGCATGTGCAGCTGTGACCAAGTGCTGCCCTGCATCAACTTGTCACCCAACTGACCTCATGCCCCATATCTTGACTAGGTGAAGCCCTATCAAGCTGAATTTGAGCGCCTTTGGAAGCAATTTGCCCACTAATCTGCGTTCGGCTTTTAGTTCGGACACCTCCCTATGCTACAGCACACAGCGGGTATATCATAAAGTGTCATACTATAATATCGATGTATCTTTTTTTCTCTTCTCATGACAACCAACTGACGTCGGTGCATAACACACGACAGTCGTCGAAAATACACTGCTGAGGAAGGAACGCGATTGCCTGATTGAGCTGAAATTGGAATGCTGTGCTGCAATGTTGTGTTCCGTGAATGTGGGATGAGACTCGGCTGCCAGGGTTCACATCCCTTAAAGTAACGGCCAGCTCGCCCGCGTTTTGACTTGTATTTTCGTAAAAGGTTGTGGTATTTGTGAGCAATTTTTGTGGTGATTTGGTCTTGGTCTGTGTCTTGACCACCTCGCAAGCCTGCATCAAGGTGGGCGCTGCCCTTCGCCGAGCCGAAAAGGAGAAGCGCGACTACTACACCGGTTTCAACCATGGAAAAACTCTGATCGTCCCTGCGGCGATGACGAGAACCGGTGGGTTCGCCTCCTCCTTTGTGGATCTGCTTGGTCAGCTCGCCCGCTGCGCCGAGGCCCGTGGTGTGTACCAGCCGGGGCTGGACGAGGCCTTTGTTCCTCGGTGGAAGGGTCGCTTCGCGGCGCTGGTCCATCAGATGAACGCTGGTCCATCAGATGAACGCTGACCACATCCAGCGCCACTTTGGCGGTGTCTGCCTACGCTCGTCGTAGGTAGGCACCGCCTCGGGGGTCCCTCTGTGGGGATCCCTGTGTGCACCAGTCGCTCCCTAGGTGGTTCTCGTTGTGATCTTTTCATGATGGCTTGACTTGTATTTTTGTTTTAATTTTGCTCGTATTTTGCACTAATTTTTACTGTATTTTTGTAAAGTCCTTTGTATGATGTCTTCTTCTTCTGTGGTCGGTTGCCTTTTCAACCCGGCGTTGTGCCTTATTGTATGTGAGCGTGCCGTGGTGTTTTTTGTGTGATCGTGCTGTGATGGCTTATATTTGTGATGCTTGACTGCCGTTTTTGGGTGTCTAGTGTTTGAAATGGCTGTATCTCTCGTTATACTTGGTCGTTTTGTACGATTTTTGGTTCTGTGTGCAGGATTCTTCGCGCTTGTACTTCTTGGCATGATAAAAGCCAGCGAATGTAACTTGTTCTCTTGTGTTGTTTTGCGTGCCCTTGTGATGTTGATGTCGGGGTTGCACAGCTTTGCTTTCAGCTCTGAGGTTCAAACACCTAATTTATTTATTAGTATATCAGGCCCGAGCAGATTAAAACCGAGCAAATCAGTTCCGAGCAGGTCAGGCACGAGCAGATCAGGGTTGACAAGGACAGACCCAAGAGGATCAGGTCTGAAAAGGACAGGCCCGAGGATATCAGAACCGAGTATATCAGGCCCGAGCATATTAAAACCGAGCAAATCAGTTCCGAACAGGTCAGGCCCCAGCAGATCAGTCGCGAGCAGATCAGGCCCGAGCAGATCGGATTCAAGAGGATCGGGCCCGAGCACATCAGTCGTGACAAGACAGGCCCGAGCACATCAGAACCGAGCAAATTAGTTCCGAGCAGGTCAGGCACGAGCAGATCAGGGTTGACAAAGACAGACCCAAGCAGGTCAGGTCTGAAAAGGACAGGCCCGAGCACATCAAAACCGAGTATATCAGGCCCGAGCAGATTAGAACCGAATAGATCAGTCGCGAGCAGATTAGGCCTCAGCAAATCAGTTCCGAGCAGGTCAGGCCCGAGCAGATCGGACTCGAGAGGATCGGGCCCGAGCAGATCAGGTCTGAAAAGGACAGGCCCGAGCACATCAGAACCGAGCAAATCAGTTCCGAGCAGGTCAGGCACGGGCAGATCAGGGTTGACGAGGACAGACTATTAGAGGCACAATCTGAGACGGTATACTTTACCACGTTGTGTGTCCTCTGGTACTTGATGTTGTCCCACCTTGTTGTGTAACATCTTGCTGTGCCATCTTGGTGTATCATCTTGTTGTGGCATCTGTTGGTCCCAACAGATTGCTGATATCGCCTCCACCTGTCTTCAGTGTGATAGTCCATTCTCTGTCTCCACTGTGTGTGTGTGTTTCCACCTGCTATAAATGGGAGCGATCTCCCTGGATCGGTACCATTTTCCTTCTTGACCTCGGTCGTTCCACTTCCCTCCTTCTGTCTTGTTCTGTCTTGTTCCTTCGCCTTGCTTCAATCCATGTTCTCGTATGCACTTCGATTGGTTGGATACCTCTGTGACAATCGCCTTGTCCACACACATAACACTGTACTGGACATACACCTTTAAAAGGTTATGGGCCTCGGTTGTGTACTCTTCCAACCTCTCTTTCGTTACCCTGCCTTGCGCTTTCCAGCTGCTTCGTTTCCCTCCTGCTTCCTCCCTGTGTCTTCTGCTTGTATTGTGAAAACGTTTCAAAATCATCAAAACCCTCTTTGTTCTCTTTGTTTCGAGACAGTGCAAAATTGTCATACTTTTTTGTTTGTTTGCTTGCTTCCTTGCTTGTTGTTGTACCTTTCCCCTCCCTTGATCATCGCCACCATGCCATTTAGTGTTATGCATACTCCTGTTGACCAGCGAGTCACTCGTAGCCGTGGCGCTGTGCAAAGCGCTGCTCGCGCTGCTGCCACCAGAAATTTTGAGGCTCACACCGACCTCACGCGCGACTTCCAGCACGAAGAAGATCATGCCGAACCCGACGCTCTCGATTGCTTGGTCAACGAGCATGAGGAAGAGGAAAGGCCGAAAATGGCCGCCACCGGGTCGCACCCGGCCACGCCTTCGACAGGAGCCGCTCCCGTCGAGGCTACCGCGAGCGCTTCTCGCCATGCCGCAAGCGCCGCCGCCACATCAGCCGCCGCCGCGGGCCCTGGATCCCCCCGCAACAATGACGCCGCCGTGGCCCAGGTCCACAGGACCCTGCAAGCCCTAGTGCACTCTCTAGGCTCTCAACATCAGCTCCAATCGCAGATTGCCGAGCTTGAACGCGAGATAAACGCTGCCCTTCGGCTCATCCCGGACAGGGGCCGCTCACATGGTTCGTTACGCGCGCACGAGACCCAGTCGCCTTCTCGTGACCTTGCGACCGATTTTTCTTTGCTCGCTCCCTCGCCCGCGGCGCACCCGTCTGCCCGTGATGGCGAAGTGGCGTTTGGCCTGGCCTCCAATCGCCCTCTACCCCGGCTCCCGAGAGAGCCCGTGCACGAATCGCTCTCTCACGACTCTCGTTATCGTCATGGCTATTTGAGCTCTCCCGCACATGACGATAGAGCCACCACGCCCAGGCGCTCTCCCATGGAAGCAGTGGATGCATCCCAATTTGGTGTTGCCTTTGGCACCAATGCGCCACCACGGGCCGGCTCTCGGACTCAACCACCCCACCACGTTTGGCACCGAGCCTACCAAACCTCAACCAAGTGGGAGTCCTATCGCGGTGACAGCAAGAAAGGTCTCGACTCCCTCAAAGAAAATGTCAACTCGGCCCTCGTTCTTCTCCAAGCCGAGCCCTTGCTGCATATGGCCACCCTCGATCTAGAGGGCTGCACCGCCGCTGGTATCCAGGATATTTATGGCGACATTTCTTCCGACCTGGACTACCTCATCTACGTCAACGACATCCTGGTTGACTGGATCTTACCGTGCTTGAGAGGTGACCTTGCCTCTCGTTTTCAGCGCGAAAAATCACGCCAACGCATCGTCTTGGGCGCCTGGTTCAAACAGATGGGCGCCCTCTTCCTCCAGACCACTCGTCACGACATTACCCAAGCCTCTCAGGCTCTTCGCGACCAACGCATCCGCACGGCCGACGACTTTCCTGTCTACCGCTCCTCCATCACTGCTGCCGTTGACACCCTTCGCATTGAGGGCGCCTACTCGGCAACCCTCGTCATCGCCCAACTGGTTGATGGCCTGCCTTCGAAACTCAGGGACGTGATTGCAAACCTGTATCAACCGTCTTGGGATTTGGGCAAGTTCTTTGAGGTGGTGACTGCTAACCTGCACAAACTCACGCCTGCTGGTGCCCGCGCCGAACCTAAACAGGGTGCCTTTGCTGTTGAGCATGGTGGAGGGCGCGGGCACGGGCATGGCCGTGGACGTGGTCGCGGACGCGGTCGTAGACGTTTTTTTTTTCTGACATCTTGGCGTGAACCACGTTGTCAGACAAAATCTGCAACCCCGCTCCTTGCGGCCCGCGTTTTGGCGGCGCCCTCGCTCCCACCGTGTCCGCTCGCTTGCTCGCTTGCTTGCCCCGCGGACATGGCCACTGAGTCCGGCGGCGAGGATTCTTGGACCCAGGTCCGCGGTGCTAAACGCCCGAGTGCCGAGTCACCTCCAAGCAACACCACCACCTCGCCTTCCCAAACTCATCGTTCTGCGAAACACACGAAACATGGCAGCGCTCGCCACGACCGTAACCATGTTTTCCCTGACCCTATGACCACCCCGTTTCGCCCTCGCGCCCGCCACTCTGCCTCTACCGCCCGTGCCTCGTCTCATGTGCCCTCGACGTCCCCCGCTGCCG